CTGTCAGGCAAGGAAGCTGGCAGGAGTTGTGGGATGGGATTAGATCCCTACTTGCTTGCAGCCGGCTGCAAGAGGGGTGTCTGCTTTAGGGAGTAAACATGTCCTCCCATGCCCAGCAGATGCCCAATCTAGAACTGGTGTTGCAGAGAGGAACAACACCCTGAATGCTGCCCCTGTGCTCTTCTAACCCCTAACCGTGCCCGCCCGCACCGTGCACCAGCCAACCCACAGGCATGGGACTAGTGAGCTCGTCCGAGGGAGGACACATAACCAAGGCGGCCCTCTTGCCAAAGAGACTCTCACCAGAGCAGATGACGAAGGCGGGCACTTTCCCCCGGTGGTCACTTGTTTCATTGAAGCAGTCCAGGACTGAGTGTCTCTTGCAGGACTTCTCCATCTCCCACCGCACGGGTAAGTGGCTCCCCGCCTCCGGCACTGTGCTGTGCCCGATGACGAGCTTGCCGCAGTTCACTGCCTCACAGATTCGGGAGGCCAGCTCAGGCCAGGTGTCCGCGTCGGCCCCTACAGCGCCCCACAGCCCCTGCCTGTAGAGCTCCACGAACCCTGAGCAGCTGAAGTTGCCATCCACCAGCCTCAACCTGGCAGCACCTGGCAAGAGGATGCAGAGAGAGTGGCTCGTTACTGACCAGGACGTCACTTATGTACCTCGTGTGGCAAAAAGTCCCCAGCAGCCATACTGCATGGGGAGCAAATCACTCCTGTGCCTATTTAATCGGAGAGATGAACACTCCCTCTGCAAGGACGACTCTCCTGTAGTACGTATGTGCTGCATCTCCAGGGTATCCGTGCCCACCACCTGTCCCTCTGCCAGGTCCGCGGCACCTGGGCCACCCCTCTTGCTGCGGCCACCAGCTTACGGAGCGGAGCCACTAGCCCACGTGCCATCGTAGAACGGAAAATCATCCCATGCATCAGAGCCTGAAAAGATCCGGACCTGTCCTTTGCTATACTGGGTAGAGAAGATCACCTCTCGCCATCCTCTTACCCCATATACCCATCAAGGTGTGCCAATACAGCAGTCGCATCCTGATCCTGCTGTGCCCATGAACGGATGAGCTGTAACTGCACCATTACTGCTGCAAATGGCATCAATAAGACTCCGGGATCTCCCTGAGATGCATGTCTCACAGGTTACATGGACTTATTTGCTCCTCGTGAGTAAATGAGTGGCCGACAGACACATTTCCTCCTCGCCACATCAGGAGCAGCTGCTGGCGCAGCCGGGCAGGGAGCAGCTCTTACCAGTGGGCTCTGGCGCGGTGGTCTCGGGCGCCGGTGGGGGCTCGGTGCTGGCTTTGGCTGGCTCTGAAACAACAAGGGAAGTGCCAAGTGGGGCTGACCGTGCCGCTGCGCGGGCGGCTGCGGGAGAGCTGGGCAGTGGGGCTCACCGCTGCAGGCCAGGCTGACGCAGTCCGTGTGGTTGCTCCACA